TACTTGGGTACTGCTTCCATATTGTGCTTCGGCTTATATGGGGGTGGGGAGACGACTCCTTCCCCGATGTGGGACGGAGGTAAAGGCTACTGTGGGGGGTTGCCCCGCAGGTCAGCCGAAATCCTTTGGTGGAGGGCGGGATATCCCAGTAATGGGAGGAATGCCCTTGGAAGACAGGGGTCCGGTAATGGACCAGGGTCTTCACAAGACGTGAGTCACTTGTCGGTGCTATTCTTCCAAATCAGAGATCAACTCCATTTGCAATGTCTTTCTAATTCATCAAAGGGTAATATTTGCAGAGTAGAATTTTCTTCCATAGACCCTTATGTACCGTAATTAGTCTCTAGTACTTCTTGGCCGCAAGCGCTTGACTTGCCATGAGAGAAAAAGATGAGTTTGTCTCACTCTACTCTTTCTTTGTCCTGGCTTTGCCTGACTAAGTGTGCGAGAAAATGTGCATGCTCAGATTGAGAGAGAGAAAAAATAAAGTACCTTCCAAAGGAAAAAAAATGAGAGGCTAAGATCCAATCTATTTGTATGAAAAAGTACGAGAGAAAACAAAAAGATAAGAGAATTACCACAAATAAATAGATAGATAAGAGACAGAACAACGGAATAGATGAAAGACGAAGTGCTACGTAGTAAAAGAAAAAGAGTTTACAAAAAAGATCAACAAACCAAACAACTAAACGTTAAAACAAAAATGAATAAAAAGAAGAATGAAGGGTCAAGGCTACTTCAATCAACTGGACTAGTCATTAGTACAAATTTGGTAAGTAGATTGTATACAACTCTTTGATCTATAAAATTCAATTTACGTCTTTAAGCATCGCCAAAACGATAAGAAACTAGCCTTAATCAGATTTCTCATCCTTATGGTAGAGTGCCACCCTTGCAGACTGAACTCTCTTTTCTTTAGGCTCTGACTTGTTTTTGGGTGGGATGGTTTTTTCTTCGCCGCCTTCGCTTTGTTGGGACGAGCTGGTGGAGATGTGGTGTCTAGTGACTCACATCGATGAGGGCTGCTGTAAAACTCAGGAAAATTGAACTTTTTCGGAAAAATGACAAAATGGTAATTTGTCACTATAATACAANTTTGGGTGGGATGGTTTTTTCTTCGCCGCCTTCGCTTTGTTGGGACGAGCTGGTGGAGATGTGGTATCTAGTAACTCACATCGATGAGGGCTGCTGTAAAACTCAGGAAAATTAAACTTTTTCGGAAAAATGACAAAATAGTAATTTGTCACTATAATACAAGTTTAAAATAAGTATTTTTCTAGGGTTCAGATGACGCAACGGACCTCATTGTTGGAATTGTATCACGAAATTGAGCTGTCAAGTCAATTTTCGTCAAATTTTGAAATAGTCGAATTTTATATGTTTTACGAGATAATTGGGTGACAAATAACCTCACAAAAGTTTCAAAAACAGAATTTATAAAATTCCCTTATAATTAAATAAAAGTTCAAATAAAATNGACGCAACGGACCTCATTGTTGGAATTGTATCACGAAATTGAGCTGTCAAGTCAATTTTCGTCAAATTTTGAAATAGTCGGATTTTATACGTTTTACGAGACAATTGGGTGACAAATAACCTCACAAAAGTTCCAAAAACAGAATTTATAAAATTCCCTTATAATTAAATAAAAGTTCAAATAAAATTAATTTGAACTGAAATCGAGAATTAATTAAGTTGTTTTGGGTTAAAAACGGATTCGGAAGTAATAAACGTGCGGGACAATGTGGACCGCGCAATTAAAAAGTATAAATAGGGGCTAAATATCTGAAAAATCAAGTATTCTTACCCACAGACGTTGAAGAGAGGAAAGAGAGAGAAGAGAGAAAACTTAGANCTGAAATCGAGAATTAATTAAGTTGTTTTGGGTTAAAAACGGATTCGGAAGTAATAAACGTGCGGGACAATGTGGACCGCGCAATTAAAAAGTATAAATAGGGGCTAAATATCTGAAAAATCAAATATTCTTACCCACAGACGTTGAAGAGAGGAAAGAGAGAGAAGAGAGAAAACTTAGAAATTCTACCTTTCTTCTTTCAATCCAAGGAGTTTCGTCGGTCGGAATTCATTGAACCAAGAATTAAAGTTGGTCTATGGATGAGGGCTATGCGTACGTACCAAGAACGAAAGATTTCACCGAAGATCCAAGGAGGAGATTTTGTGAAATCAAGAGTTTTGGGGCTTGAAAGTGTTCTTGAGGTTCCCCACACTTTATCTCACATTCCAAAAGGTAGGGTTTCCTCCTATTTTGGACTATTTCTATCTTATGATGTTCATATGGAAGGGGGTGGGTATGTAGAATATGTATACCACTTGTTTATTGTTATGAAAATGAGGGAAAAGGTGTAGAAATGACTTAGACCAACTTCTAGCTTGGATTTGATATGTGGGAGTCACTTGTGTAATCCCTTGAAATTGGTTTAAGTGTGATTGGCATGAGATTGTGTAATGCCACACTTGAGAATTGTGTTGGATATAAATGTTGATATATGTTAATTGATGTATTGACATGGTAATGAATTTTGGTGATTATATGCATGTGATATAAATTGTGANTGATGTATTGACATGATAATGAATTTTGGTGATTATATGCATGTGATATAAATTGTGATGGAACATGTGGTTAAATTGCTCATTAGCATTCCTTGCGTATTGGGCATGACATTGACATTGCAATAGTGCATTACATTGCATATTCCATGGGAAAAATACATTCATGGCCATAAGTATGGGTGTGTGTGTGTGTGCATAGTTGGATCAATCATCATACTTGGTGATTGGTGATGGGCTCGAAAAAAGTTGGATTCAAAATATGACTGAGTCGCATGGTTGCATGAAAGAAAAATTTGTGTCAAGTATAGCAAAAAGAGCTAGACACTCCCTTGGGTGAAAGGCCCGACTACTTGGTTCATACACTCTCCTGATGTGAAATTCCAAAAAAGTGTAATNATGGTTGCATGAAAGAAAAATTTGTGTCAAGTATAGCAAAAAGAGCTAGACACTCCTTTGGGTGAAAGACCCGACTACTTGGTTCATACACTCTCCTGATGTGAAATTCCAGAAAAGTGTAGTGGCGTATGGAGCTAGCGGTGTGATTCCAAAATCCGATATCCAACAAAGACACATGGTTTTATTATATAAATTATTCATTTGATGGGAAACATCTAGAAATGAATTGGTTTTATGAAAATATGATTTTATTTCAAAATGATTTTTGAATATATTTCATCAAGGACAAATGATTTACACACATGCATGGCATCGTGTTGTCGGAGTCGGAGTAGGCTTGGGTGAAAATGCATGAGTGAGTCTCACCTCATATCATGACAAGGTATGGTAGAAATTTTATCGTGAATAGCATGTTCTTGTATGAAATGGATTTATGATTGCAGTTGTTGAATGTAAACATTGCATATACATTTAGGTGGGGAGTAGCCTCTGTAAAAAATATTCTACTGAGCGTTGGCTCACCCTATACAGGAACACATTTCAGGTGTGGGGTTTATACTGGCGGATGACTTTCATTCGGGGCCTCAAAGATGAAGAAAAGCCGACTTGTGACTTTTGTAATATATTTTGTATAAATTTTGTAAAATTACAGTGTTGAGTATGAAATCGTGTGAATGCATTGTAATAAAACTTGTAGAAATCAAGTTTTATGTGATAAACATCATTAGACATGCTTGGATGGTGTTGGAATGATTTGAAATGGTTTTGAAATAGAAAAACAATGGAAATAAGCTAAACTGGGTAGAGAGTATTGGTACACTGTACCGGTACAGTCTGTTCCAGCAAGCAGACAGTACCGGTACTCTTTCCAAAACTTTGAAAAAAAATTTGGAAGGCAGACAGTACCGGGACAGTCCAGACGGTACCAGTCCTTCCAGGACCAGTGAGCAAACAGNCGGTACTCTTTCCAAAACTTTGAAAAAAAATTTGGAAGGCAGACAGTACCGGGACAATCCAGACGGTACCAGTCCTTCCAGGACCAGTGAGCAAACAGTACCGGTACACGGTACCGATACTCTCTCCAAAATTTTGAAATTTAAAAATTAAAGTGTGATGCTTTTGGGCTTTGATTTCCTTAGTACCAATGATACAAATGGACATTAAATGAGATGTATTAGAGCATATTGAGTCTTGGTTGAATTAAATGATAAAATAAACAAGGGATACATGTGTGGGTTGAAACCCCGGATAAAGGGATATTATTGACGTGATGTCGGATTGTACGTACTCACTGGTATTTCTGCAGGTTGATGGGTGGTCAACGATAAACTAATGACCCCCGGTTTTAGGGGCGTCATAGCTGCGCTATGTCACTTGTCCTTACCTTGGTAGTACTGGTTTAGCAAAGCTAACGATAGGTCAGATAGGTCTGGGACTAGTCCCTTGCAAGCTTAGTGATCGGGGTTTCCTTTCTTACACTGTATTTATATATGTCGTGTCAAAATTGAGTCATTCGTGTTTGATGTTAATTAACTTAATGCAATTATTATTCATATTAACCGATCATACAATTCTTGGGTTCATTTTGTGTCGGATTCTTGGATCACACCCATTCTACAAAAAGGAAAGTTTGACCCTAAAACATGTGTTTAAAATTTTTCTAGTCCCCCATTAACCATAGCTACAGGTTGTTAGGAGTGGTTTCCCACTTGCAAAACGTGAGTTTGAATTTTCTGTTTTTCTCTTAAAAGAAAATAAAGAGACCCTTATCCGTTCTGAACCAAAGCAGTGTCAAAGGGAAAAAAAAATCTAAGCATCTGTCAAGATTTTCCATTGTCCCCCTTGCTTTCACACAAGAAAGCANAAATAAAGAGACCCTTATCCGTTCTGAACCAAAGCAGTGTCAAAGGGAAAAAAAAAATCTAAGCATCTGTCAAGATTTTCCATTGTCCCCCTTGCTTTCACACAAGAAAGCAACAAGAGCCAGGACAGCTTGTCCATGAGAAAAGTTGAAAGCCAGCCTTAATGTCTACAGAGATTAACATGCCCCCCCTAACCCACAGCCCACACCACTCTCAGTCATGGTGATGAGAGACTTGTCCTTTTCAAATCAAACACATTTTTCCTTTACTACCAAATGAAGAAATTGTAACCATTCTTTACCCTAGAACAGTCGTACCCATCTCTGGCCAGGCCAAGAAAACCTAAAGCTACTTTACAGATATACTCCTTTTCTTTTGTAGTTTCACTGTCTTTAATGTGGAAATCTTAATACTTGTTCTGTTATGTACTTGAAGAAACAACAAATAGGACTAAAAATAATTTCGACAAATAGGACTAAAAATAATTTTATGTATTGTCTTAGGTCGGGTTCTTAACATTGTATTGTGTTAGAATTTGTTAAACTTATATGTTGCCCCATTTATAAATGTGTAAAGTTGTGTTCGTGATGTTTATATATACACGATAATTAGTTGAATTCAAAAATCGATCGACCTATCTATCGAACGGGTCTTGCATGTCTATCTTTTTATCAGCCCGAACTAAATACTAAACTTAAACCCGTTACTTGGTGTCTAGTTTGTGTCGTGTTAGAGATGATGTTTTTGATTACCACACCTAACCACATATATGAAAAAACACATTATTTGTATGTCAATGCAGATTTTGGACTTAAGCCTTGCCTTCAGTCATTGGTCGTTGGGGTCAATCAATCAACGTGTAACAAACGGAACCACTAGACATGGTAGGCATAATCAGCGTTGTAAAGTTAAAAATATCTTTTGACAATTTACACACAATTATTTTTACTTGACAACGGCATCAAAGAAAAAAAAAATTAGAATCATATTTCTAAATTTTATTATTTTTATGGGGTTCACCATTGAATATGATTAATAATTGAATCGAGTCTAAAAAACTGTTCAAACTCGTCTTATTTAAAAAATGAGGCGAATCGAATCTTATCGAATCTTTTTTAGGCTCGTTTTCTAAAGAGTCTAAAAAGTTGTTTAAATTCGATTTCTTTAAAGCATGAGCTAAGATCAAGTCAAATTATATGCAAATAGAATGCGAGTAAATCGAGTCAATTATCTACCCTACAGTTGCAATTAACACCCAATAAAAATTTGAAGCTTTTGATCAATGTCTCCGTTTGGTTGTTGAGCCGGAATTCATACAGTGTTTTTTCTTCTTCTTGTTTTTTCCCCAGTCTATTAGAATAAAATGGTCAAAAATAGTTCATGTGGGGTTCCACAGAAAATGACCAGCCCCCACCGCCCATTCACAGCGAAACTTTATTCATAAGGATTTTAATTATGATTATGATACACGTTGCATTTTATATGCTTTTCTTATAATCAACTTTTGCCTTTTTTTTATTTAGTCTGAAAAAAACCTCCAATAAATCATCATCTTCCTTAGTCAAGTTGCCAAGTTTTTGGAGAATTCTATACACCCTGTAGACTGTAAATGGAGCAAAACCCTAGTTCCTCTAGAGCTGACAGAAAGACCATAGAGAAAAATCGGAGGACTCACATGAAAACCCTATTTTCACAGCTCAATTCTCTTCTCCCCCATCAAACCTCTAGGGTTCTCTCTCTCTCTCTCTCTCTCCTTAAGCCTCATACAGAACTCTTTGTTTTGTCTTTCGAGTTGTAGGACATAGGAAGTACGCGAGTCGATCCATGATTCCATAGAACTAGTTAGGGTTGGGACACATTTCTCTCTCTCTCATATCTCTTGTGTATATATGAACATGTCTGCAGAAGATAGAAACACACACACAGGCATTATTGGTGTTTTTTTTTTGAGTCCTTATATACACACTCATGCACAGCTCTGGGTAATGATCTTTTAATGGGGTTGCAGGAAGCATTGTCGCTGGCGGATCAACTCGATGAAGCTGCCAATCATATAAAGAATTTACAGGCAAATTTGGTCAAAATGAAGCAGAAGAAAGACAGATTAGTGGGGATTCAGAATCAATTTACAAGGATGAGTTGTCAAACAATGGCTGGGGCTAGATCACCACAGATTGAGGTTCATGAGGTGGGTTTGGCTATGGAGGTGGTTTTGATCACTGGGTTGGATTGTCAGTTCATCTTCACTGAAACTATCCGGATGATCCATGAAGAAGGCGCAGAGGTCGTTAATGCCAGTTTTTTTGTCATTGACAATACTGTTTTCCACACCATTCATTCAAAGGTTAAACCCAAGCAAAGCTTTTATTTCTCTTTTTTTCTGTTAAATTAGAAATTTATATTAAGGATCAAAATTTTGTTTCAGTGTACAATTTTGATGAGTTTGGAAACAGAATTGTGTCGGTAATATTTCAAAAACATAGAAAATTTTAAAAATTTAATTTTAAAACATTTTTTTTTTCGTTAAAAAGAAGGGCTCACGGCGAGACATTGCAGCCTACGTCCATTGCCCAAAAACACCCAATGGTGTCTAATATCATCATACCACTTATTTTTAAAACATTAGTCGAAACATACAGAAACATAAGTTGAAACACTTCAAATCATAAAAATTTTGATATTTTCGGTCTTCATAGAAACGAAAATATTTCATAGAAACGAAAATATTTCGAACGTTTCAAAACGAAATTTAGTTCTTGGTTTGTTCTTATTATTTATTAAGAATAACCTAAGTTTGAACTTTTTGTAAACTCTCTCTCTCTCTCTCTCACTCTCCAGGTTGGAGAATCTGCTCCAGGTTATGGTTGTGCAAGGATATCTGAGAGGCTCAAGAAGTTTGTGTATGGTGCTAATTCTTTTTGAAGCACAATGGAAGATCGATGAATACAACGTAATATGTTTCATTTCTCTATTGTTTGTTGAGAATTCTTCGTAGAATTCATATATTTATCTTGTCAAAGGTTGAATGTTATCCATGGAATGTCACAATTTAGTCTATTGGTTCCTTGGAAATTGCTAAGACTGTGGGATAATTGCATAAAATTGCTTCTCTAACTGATTAGATTTTGTACTCTCTTGTTCTTGTTTGCTCCGAATACAAAGATTTGTAAACAATAAACCATCAAATCTAACATTGAAATGGTTGCAAAACTCATGGATATATGCCAGTAAAATATCACTTGCTATTGATCAGACTCGATTTAATTTGAAAGATTGTCGTACATTTTAAATTGTTGTAGACACATTGGATTGAAGAGACATACATGTATGCGAGTGTTCGTTGTATTGAGATATTGTATATACTTTTCAAGATATCATTTGGGGATTATGAATGCATTAAATGTAGGGGCATTAACTTGGTAGATATTTGTTTCTTTAGTTGTAGTTCTCTTGTCATTCCATATTGGAATGAAAATTACAGGTACTTTGTTAGCTCTCTTTGATGTCTTATATCCCTAACCAATTTCTTGACTTTAGTGCCCATTGCTAATTAGAAGACAAGTAACTCTGTTTTTTGGTTCAACGGTTAAGGGTGTTCAAAACAGTTTATGTGCACATCGATTATTTCCTTTTTGATCCGAAAAAAAACAAGTCATGCGCGTCGGAACTAAGGTATTCATAAGGAATAAATGATAACTCCTTCATTGGCTAGCACCAAGTTATTGCTAAGATTCGAACTCAGGATTTTTATATCTACAGTTCATCCCTGTTAAATGTTCTAACCAAGCATTCCACATTTACTTTGTCTTTCTAAAGAAAGTCCATATAGATTGTTTCAAATTTATCTTGATGGTAGTATAATTGTTTAGGGTTACAACATTTTGTGACACAGTGACAAGTTAAGTTTATTTCAAGGTTTATTTTTTCCTCTTTTGTTCCTTGGATATGCTGATCTCCTTCTATTTTTGTCAGTCTATCTGTCCAAACTTTTCCTTCTCTAGGTGTATATTGAATTGGGCATTTCCTTCTTTAGAGAAGCAATTTGACTTCTGATGTGGATGCTTTTTGGTGGGTGTTATCCATATCTTCGATGGCTATCGACTCCCACTGCTGCTAGGGAGTCTTACATATTGGTGTAATCGTGGATTTTATCTTCTTAATCCAGCCTTCTTTCTCGTCTAATCTTGGTTAGGATGGGCTTTGGCATAACGTAAGATTGCTCCATTGTGACTTGTAAGTCAGGGGTTCGAATTGCAGAAACAGTCTTTCTATTTGTAAGGGTAAAGCTGCGTACATCTAATCCTCCCTAAATTCAGCGACAACGGAGTTTCGTGCACTTAATACGCTCATAGCTCAACTGTAAGACTATCTGTACATACCATCTGGCCAGAATATATCCATGAGTCCATCTCCAATAAGACCCCCCAAAAAGCTCTTCCCTTGGCTCCTTTTGATGCTTAATGAGCTTCAGTTTCACCCTCAGGAAGAAAAACCTAGTTGATTAGTTTTAGTTCTGATTTTTCATAAACCATAACTGAAGTTGAAGGCTTCAGGAATGTCCTAGTTGATTTTTCTTCTTTTTTTTGTTTTTGGATGCAGTCTTTTGATGGTCCCTGTTTTTTTTTTTTTTTTTTGGCTGCATAAATCTAATTTTCTTCAAATGTCATGATAGCGGAAGCTTTATGCATTAGGTACCCTCTTTTATTCTTTATTTTGATGGTCCAAATTGATGGACTAGCAAGGGAATTGTTCTTCTTGGCCCTACTTTTAAGCTGAATAGAAGACAATTTATTTAGGGTTAATAGTATTTTTAATCCTTAATATATATTATCAATTTTATCTTCATTGTATTAATTTTATTAATGTGGTCCCTAATCAGACAATTCATCAAATTTTTTAACGGAAGTAACCACGTGTCATTTTTAAACAGTATTATTTTGTCAAAAAAAATATAACGAATTGTCTAATTAGTGACTAAATTAATAAAATTAATGCAATAAAAAGAAAATTGACAAAAAATACATATTTTAAAGATAAAAAAATATTATTAACCCATCTAATTTACTCCCTCCGTTTTTAAATATATGTCGTTTAAGGTTTTTGCGCATGGATTAAAAAAGTTATTAAATAGCTCTAATATGAGTAAAAAATAATTACACAAGACTAAAATACCCTTATTCAATACGTATTAGAAAGAAAATGAATATGAAAGGCAATTAGCTTCCACCAAATGTAATGCATTAAAAAGTTAAGGATAAATTTGGAAGAAAAAATATTAATTATGTTTTAATTTCATTAAACAACATATATTATAGAACAAAAAATTGTGTAAAACGATAGATATTTATGTTCCGTTTGGTAGGGAAGATGGAAAATAGGAAGGATGGAAAGTAGGAGGGATACACTTTCTATCCTTTAAGGATGGAAAGTATAAATCATACAATTTCCTTCCTTTGTGTTTGGTTGGATGGATGAAAAATAAAAATGACTATTTTTTTTTTGTGCTAAGATTAGGAGTGACAATTAAGTCGAGTTGTATCGTATTAAATTCGTGTTGAGTCATTACGAGTTTGTATCGAATATTAGTCAAATCTAACTTAACTCATTTAACTAATTGTGTGGTGTCGAGTTGCGAGTTGACCTATTTATTTTCGTATCGAGTTCGAGTCGTGTCATCGTGTTGAGTCGAAAATTTTCACCCCTATTTAAGATAGAAAAAAATATAATTTTTTTAATTTAAATTTTTTTAATTTTTTAAAATTTTTTAAAATATATATATACATATTTTATCATTGTATTTTTATATAAAATTAATGTATATATAAGATATATAGACAAATAAGATACATCTCAACACAAATAATTAACTTTTCATCTACTTTCCTTCCGATTTTGGAATGATTAATTTTAGTGAGTTGGAAGGAAAGTTAATTTATCCACTTTTTTATTTTTCTTACTTTCCTTCTTTACTAAATATGATATTTTATTTATTCTTCTAATTTTTTATTCTCTCACTTTTTCATCGTATCAAACAAACTTTAGGAACGAAAGGAGTATTTCCTATTTCCTATTTCCTATTTCCTAATAATAATTGATATGTCTGAGCTAAGCCAGATTAGTTTTGTTGGTACATTGTAAGATGACGTCATGTACCGATGACGTCAGACGCCTAGGTTGGCTTGAAGAGCCGGTGGCAAAGTTAATAAATGATGTCGGAATAAAATTATTCTTCTCCTTCACAGATCCGCAGAAGCTTATCCTGAACCCCACTCAACCGACACCACGCCCACGACCAGTGTCACTGCCTATCTAAATAGATCGGATAGTCTTACTGCAAGGCCCCTTCCCCTTGGGCTTTACACATGCAATATTTAAAGGAAAATTTGGGAGTCGGTCTAAATAAATTTATTTAGAGATAAATTTTGTAAGAAAATTTATTTGATTATAAACTCATTTTTAATTAAATTTATTATTGTACCCTTATTTTTTAGAAAACCACAAACGGTGTCTAAATTGTTGTTTCTATATCAAGAGGAGAAACTCTCTATTCTTGTCACTCTATATAGAAACTTCCCCTTTCATTCTATTCGACAAATTCGGCAAAAATTTCTCAAATTTTTTTGAGTTTCCTTCTCCAAAAATCTTTAACTATCATTACCTAAACTGCTTCAATGCAAAATTCAAAGAGGTTACATACTATAAGAGCAAAAGTCGATTCTACTCTTCAAGTTCCATTGACGAAGTTACTATTAGAAATTTTATAAACTTTTAATTTTTGAATTGTATTTTTACTATAATAGTTTTCAAATTTGATGTTACTGTTAACACAATATAATCTTGTAATTTGTGAAAGTCGATGTGTTACTGAACACAATACTTTGATGTTTCAGCGAAAAATTAAAAGTGTGTGTTACATAACATACATCTAAAAGATTTGCAATTGAAAGTGAAAAGTGAATATTGGGGTTGGACAGTGTTATGTATAGGGTAATCTTTAAACCATAAAATTGTAACATGTGCACTGTAAATTGTGTTTGTCTGATATTACTCAAGATGATGTTTTTGTGATTTAGTAAATAATTTTAATGTTGTTATCCTTATGTTACTATGTGTACATCGTGTAACTTGGTAAAACTGTTCATGTTACTTTTACTAAATTAATGTGTTATATAATTGCTTGTGAACATTTTTTGTTGTTTTTTTCGTTGTTCAAGACATTCGAAATTCATTGGTTCAAAGTACCATAAAAATAGACCATGAAAATAGATTATATACTGTGAAATTGATGTTACTGTGGATATTTACCGATCACAACCTTTGGTTTTACTTTGAAAATTAAAGGTGTATGTTCAACATATATCCCTCTTTTTTTTTTCTTTTTTTTGGGGGAGGGGGGAGGGGATATATCCCTCAACGTTTGGTTTTACTTTGATGTTCTGTGATTGAGATTTTGAATTTGAATTGTTAATGGAAACTTTTGATCTGAAATTAAATTAATAGCACAATAATTTTGTCGTAATTCAAGCATCATAATATGATATATTCGATTTTCATAAAAAATTGAACAATCTGTTACCATATATATCTTAAACATCTAACCTATGACTTTTCATAATTAACCAAAATTAACACCATTAGGAGTGTTTTTGAGATAAAAAAAAAAGTGGACTTAAGTCATTATATATAATTTTAAATATAGACTTAACATCTTATATGTTTCCTTACCGGACTTATCTCCAAACAAGTACATCTAAAGAGACTCACCGCAAATTTTCATATATTTAAATGATAGTTATATGTAATAAAAGTGATTCTTAACTCCTATTTTTCTAAAGACTTATGAAAAATAGCTCAATTCTCCAGCCTTTTTTCCTTTTAAGTGACAAGGGGGAGAAGAAATGAAGGACAACTACGAAAACTAGTAAACGTCGTAGAGTTGTTAGTCAATTCAATTCAAACAAGTAAAGAGTTATGTCATAAGAGATTTATCATTGATAATTTTTTTAGTTTCGACGCAGACGACTTATCTTTAACCTAATTAATCGAGACACACATAAACTTAGTAGAATACCGCTACTCATAAATACCAAAACAATTAAAAAAAAATTCATTGGAATAAAAATCGGCACCATGCCAGCCCATCAATAAAGATGTTATGTTTATGCAATAGGAGTGCGAGAAGTTCAAGCAAATGGATGTTACACGGACATGATACTATTATGGCCCAAGTTTAGGGACAATGCAGTTACCACTGGACTTTGGTGTTCACTTTTTTGTACAAATACATCCCCAATTACCCTAATATGACCATACTTGTCCAAACCTAAAACAGACTATTCTTAACAGGGTTCGTTAAGCCCACAACATTAAGTCCATTCTGTAATTGTAGACATCATCCACAATGCCTAAGCCCACAACATAAGGCCCAGAGACCCCTAAACAGATCATTTAAGAACACTAAGGGTAAAATAGTAATTTCATTTACACTATTAGCTAGGGTTTTCTTCCACACTATCTCGTCTTCCTCACTCATACCTCCCCCCCTCTTCTCTTTCTCTCACTCACACACACACACGCACGCTCACGCTTTGAGATCTTCGGCCATGGTAGGATTCGAAATCGGCGCCGTCCCCTTCAACCCTGACGGCTGGGGTCCACCAGACACAACCACCGCCGCTGCGGCTTCCCCATCTTTCTCCACCCTCCCCTCTAACGTCCCATTCGCTCCCTTCTCTCGCTCCGATAAACTCGGCCGCATCGCCGATTGGACCCGTAACCTAAACTCCTCCGGTCGACCCAACAACCCCAATTCCCGAAACGCCAACCCCGCCGACTCCGCCTTCGATTTCTCCAACGACGACTCTTTTGGTGCCGACGACGACTCCTTCCGTTTGGTCGACAAAGCACACAACCACCCATCCAACCACCGTCCGAAATTCGGACCCAGGTGGCGATTCCAACAAAACCGTTCTCAACTCCCCCAACGCCGTGACGAAGAGGTCGAGGCCCGAAAACGCGAGGCGGAGAAAGAACGGGCTCGCCGTGACCGTTTCTACAACCTCAACCGCTCTGGCGGCAACAACCCACCTCGCCGTGAGTCCGCCGTGTTCAAGTCCTCCGTTGATATCCAGCCTGAATGGAATATGCTTGATCAAATCCCATTCTCGACCTTCACAAAGCTCTCCTTTTCAGTCCCTGAGCCCGAAGATCTTCTCGTTTGTGGCCGTCTCGAGTTCTACGATCGGTCCTACGATCGCGTAACCCCAAGAAACGCACCTCGTCTGGAGAGATTCAAGAACCGAAACTTCTTCAAAGTCACAACCACAGATGACCCAGTTATCCGCCGCCTCGCCAACGAAGATAAGGCCACCGTTTTCGCAACTGACACCATCTTATCAACCCTAATGTGTGCTCCAAGGTCAGTTTATTCATGGGATATAGTTATTCAACGAGTTGGGAACAAATTATTCTTCGATAAGAGAGATGGGTCACAGTTAGATTTGCTATCAGTCCACGAAACCTCGCAAGAACCCTTGGCAGAGAACAAGGATGATATAAATTCTGCCTATTCGTTGAGCGTTGAGGCGGCTTACATAAACCAGAATTTCTCTCAGCAGGTTCTGATAAGGGAAGGGAATAAGGTGAGCTTTGAGGAGCCGAACCCGTTTGCGAATGAGGGAGAAGAAGTGGCTTCAGTGGCTTATAGGTATAGGAGGTGGAAGTTGGATAATGATATGTATTTGGTGGCAAGGTGTGAGGTTCAGAGCGTTGTGGAAGCTAATAATCAGAGGTCATTTTTAACTCTAAATGCATTGAATGAGTTTGATCCGAAATACTCTGGTGTTGATTGGAGGCAGAAACTAGACACACAGAGGGGGGCTGTTTTGGCTACTGAATTGAAGAACAATGCCAATAAATTGGCGAAATGGACAGCTCAGGCGCTGCTGGCAAGTGCCGATATGATGAAATTGGGGTATGTTTCGAGGGTTCATCCAAGGGATCATTTTAACCATGTGATATTGGCTGTGGTGGGGTATAAGCCGAGGGAGTTTGCAGGGCAGATTAATTTGAATACATCTAATATGTGGGGGATAGTAAAAAGCATTGTGGATTTGTGTATGAAGTTGAATGAGGGGAAGTATGTGCTTGTGAAGGACCCGGCCAAGCCGCAAGTGAGGATCTATGAGGTCCCAGTGGATGCATTTGAGAACGATTATGTGGAAGAGCCGTTGCCAGAGGAAGAACAGGTGCAGCCCCCTGCAGAGAATGCTGAAGGTGGAGAGGCAAATGCCGCTGTAGATGATGTGGAGAACAAAGAGATTACTATTGAAGCTTAAAAGTGTATGATACTATGATTTCTTGCTCTTAAAAAATTATATGATTATGGTTGTTCTGCTTTTGTTTTGTTCCTAGAATGATTCAGTGCTATGAAAACTTGGAAGTTTTAATTTAAACAGTGGTATACCTGAAAACTGATTCATTGATAAATACAAAAACAAATGTGGAAAAGAGACCTTCAAATAAAGTGGTTTGTCTCTGTTCTTAAACTGGTTTGTAAGTGTGATGAGAATTTAGTTTGTGAGTCTGTCTTTGGGTGTGCAACAATACTAATCCATGTACAGTAATGATGTTTTTGTGTAGCAGTGATTCTATTGAAGAAATTCGTTCTTCAATGTTCTTGACTTTGATCTCATGATAAGATAGTCAAAGATGGCTTCACATAGTTCTGTTCTATAACTTGTGCGTTATCTCAAGAGAAACAATATTCTTATTACTGTCTTTAAGCTTAAAGTGATATGCTTTTATCTGTTGTTTCGGTTCATAGAATGACTTTAGTGCTATTAAACTTTGAAGTTTAAATTTAAACAATGAATTATGCCTAAAACTGATTCATGGTTATCTGCAAAAGCATATGTGGAATTGCATTTGTCAAACTGGTTTGAAGTGTGATAAGAATTTAGGTTGTCGGCTGTCTTTAGATTTGCAACAATAGTGATTCATGTAATAATGATGTTTTCATGTAGAATGATTATGTTGAAGAAATTCTTTCTTCAATGTTATTGACTTTCCATCGTATGAGGAGATTGCAAAAAATGGCCTTCATAGAGTTCTGTTTTTTAACTTGTACATTATCTCAAGAGAAACAATATTCTTATTATGGCAGGACATGGAAAGTTTCTTTTGATGTATATGCTGTAATTATACTAAACTCCAGTTACTCCACCTTTTCCCTTGAAATTTTCGGTAGATGACTGAAGTTTTTATTGATTTTTGGAGACAAGTTCTAGTGGGGATAAATGGCGTAGGATGTATTTACTGTCCTTTGTTTCTTTTGGTAGCCATTACAGAAAGAATTTTACAAGTTTTCTGGAAGTGGAACGGAAATGCATAAGTTTTTAGCAGCTTCTAAAGTAGTTTAGATTAGTGGTGTTATGTCCACTGTATTTGGTAAGTTTTTGAATTCTATGCTTATTGTATCATGTATGATCATGGATTTATGATGAGCTTTATCTGCCAGTTATCTGGCTCACCCTAAGCATTTTTTTTTGTCAACTTTAATATGACACAAGTACAACAGCATATATGTAGGAACCATTAATTTTGCAGTATTTTTTTTATAATTATTAGCAGTAAAAATGTTAAACAAGTCTTGAATTTGAGTTCTTCAAAGTGATAATGTTCTTTTAGGGTAGGCATAATTATTTTAGCCCATAGAATTGTCCACAGTTAAAAATCGGATCTGGTCTCTAAACAACTTCCACCGTAGGCATCCTAATAGATTTAGTGTTGGTGGCTGTATAGACAAATACCTGGAGGTTGTTCAAAGTCACCCTTGAAGAACATAAATATTGCATTGGCCGTTGTAAGTAAGTGTTGTCATGATTTAATGGGAGGGTTGGTTCATTGTGAGGTTAACCATCTATTTTTGGTGAAGAAAGACCAACGGAAATTTTGAATTTTTCTCAGTGAGAGAGATCAACTCTTACCTTTCCTCCGTTAAGAAAGAGTAACAAACATTTAGATGGCTCATTCAATTTTCCTGTTTACTTGTTACTCTTGGCAGCTTTAGATACATGTGCTATTTTTCCATTTTACTCGGTTATAATTTCAATATTTCAAGTTCTTGCAATTTCGATATTTCAAGTTCTTGCAAGTCGTTGTGGTTGAAACAACATTTGATATTGATCCAGATCTATCTACTTTCCACCAAGTTGAGGTGCTGTGTAGTTTGGCCCAATTTATATGTAGAGGGAGGTAGGCCTTTGTTTGAGATAATTGAAATCTTGATAGGCTGTTTTTCGCTAAGAATGATCTTGACAGGCCTTGCAACCAAACTTCTCCTTTTGCTTGAAGAATCAAATTTCTTGTATACTCTGACTAAGACATGGTGGCATCTTTTAAGTATTCCATCTGTCCCGAATAATAGTCTCTTATGGGGTATCCAACCATTAAAGGAGATGCATAACAAATGTATTCACACCGATTAAGAAACCATCACTGTGTATGGGGCAAAACTTTAAAAAATCACATCTTGGGAAACTTTTGTAAAATCACTCCAAAAAGGGCCATTTAGGATATCAGCAAGTCTTTTGCCTTGGCTATCAAAGGTTATCAATTAATTTGAGACATCTCAGAAAGTTAAAATGGAATATAAATTTGGGACTAAGAAAGTAGCAACTTGTTTAAGGCACCAGGAAGATAGTTGTTCAAATGATTTAGCTGTTTTGCATTTCTCCTATGAATTTTCTGTACAAGTAGTTCCTGCTGGATAACTGGCTGTACAAGGCATGCTGTCCCTTGAGTCCTGGCCTGGGAGACCTGAACTGTTTTAATACTCTAGGCTTGGAATGGAAATAAACCCACAAGGTGGTGCTTTTGCAATTTTATTCTTTCCTAATGACACCGTCTTGACATGCGCTTTCAGCTGCCTGGTCTTCTGACGCCCTTTGCTGCTCTCTTTTTCCATTAACAGCCTTCCCGGTATTTCGGTGGCAGCTCTGTCTTCTCGATCTACCCTTTATGTTGTCTTTGCAGCAGACTCTGGCTGCAACCCGAGCTCTCTGCGAATATACCCTGCTGATTGTTGCATTATTGAGGTTGCAATTGTAGATTTGAAGTTGTCAATATGTGGGACAAATTACCTATCTTATATCACAAATTGTAACCCCATGGGTATTTGATTATGTTGGCTTAATAACATGGTAAAAAGGTTCTTTAAATGTGCACATGCATACACAGATTGGTGGGTTTGACGTGAGTATATGTGTGTGTGTGCGTGCATAATTGCCTTCTTGTTTGTCTAGTTTTTGTTGTTATATAGTTGCCAGTGTTTTCTTAAACTTATGTTCCCTGGTTTGGATTGTAACACATTTCTCTAATCTGTCCAGGTTTCCAGCTGAAGCGTTTGAAGCTGAACGTCACAATTTTTCGACTGCTGTTTCCATCGTCTTTGGCATTTTTGATTTTTTTTCTTGTTTCTTTTCAGGGTGCCATTTACCATCCATATGGTTTTGATACATCTGAACACCTGCTGGCTTAATTTTTGAAAATGGATACCTTCTAGTTTGTGGCTTTTGAAGGGATCTCTTTTGTTTGGTTTTTGGAGAACAATTGGGATGTTGTGATGGATTTTCAGTTTATTGTCTAAACCTAACCTGGCCTTGCTTGATGCCATGCCAATTATATATATTTTTGTAGGATTCTCCGGCTATAGATCTAGTACCATAATGGATGATGCTACTTTTACTCTCTGCGGGAGTACATCCAAGCTTTGCGCTCAGGGCGGTGACGCGCAGTACTGAGGTATAATGGTTTTCTTTTTTGGCTATTGAAAAAGGTGGTGGGGTCAAAGGAGAGTATTTAGAAATTATTCGGATAAGTTTTCAGTGGTTGGTCGGATCATGAATTATCTGATTGTGTCTCTTATTTCTCTCGAAAATGAACTTAATTAGGTTAATATAACGGTCAATTACAGAGTTCTAATGTAGATTTTAAGATTTGAACTTTCAATTTTAGGGTAAGAAGCTTAACAGGTATTCCATTGAACCACTCCACTTGGTGGTTAGCTAGTGAGGTATTATTATTAACTGAGGTTATGGTTGATAATTAAGTCGACTTTAAAAAGATTTGAACTCGAATAGTTAGATTATTTTACATATAAATGAATTGAGTTTTTTAAGTTTATTTTTTTAATGAGTTTAAAAAATTGTCCAAACATGAGTTAAATTTGAGTTGAGTCTGATTAATTTAGCTTTTATATCAATCCTATGCGAGGTGTGTCAATTGTTGGTTGAAAACGATTTATATGTGCTTGAGGGGATTTTTCATTTATGAAAAAGAAAGAGTTAATTGTTTTTTATCTCACGCGGTTTTGCTAAAAATATTTTATTTACTTAACGTTTAAAATTATGTACATTACCAAAGTGAAGTAATTGACATTGTTAACAGAATTAAAAAATTATTATAATATCGATGTTTTAAATCAGATTTTTTTTTTGATTTACTCTTGATTATAAAATTAGAGATAATAGGATGTGAGTACATTTTTCAAAACTTATTTGGCTTTAAGTATCATCTCTAAATTTATTCTCCTTTAAGTCTTTTTTTTCATCAAATAGTTGTTAATAAGTACACATTTTAAAACATTTTTAAATTCTTTCTAAAGTGTATTCCATAATTACCCCTATCATAAATAGTGCGTACTTAATTGATAACTTTTATATTTCTAATATCTAAATATTAGAATGTGAGACTTTCAAGATTTCTNTTGTGGCTTTTGAAGGGATCTCTTTTGTTTGGTTTTTGGAGAACAATTGGGATGTTGTGATGGATTTTCAGTTTATTGTCTAAACCTAACCTGGCCTTGCTTGATGCCATGCCAATTATATATATTTTTGTAGGATTCTCCGGCTATAGATCTAGTACCATAATGGATGATGCTACTTTTACTCTCTGCGGGAGTACATCCAAGCTTTGCGCTCAGGGCGGTGACGCGCAGTACTGAGGTATAATGGTTTTCTTTTTTGGCTATTGAAAAAGGTGGTGGGGTCAAAGGAGAGTATTTAGAAATTATTCGGATAAGTTTTCAGTGGTTGGTCGGATCATGAATTATCTGATTGTGTCTCTTATTTCTCTCGAAAATGAACTTAATTAGGTTAATATAACGGTCAATTACAGAGTTCTAATGTAGATTTTAAGATTTGAACTTTCAATTTTAGGGTAAGAAGCTTAACAGGTATTCCATTGAACCACTCCACTTGGTGGTTAGCTAGTGAGGTATTATTATTAACTGAGGTTATGGTTGATAATTAAGTCGACTTTAAAAAGATTTGAACTCGAATAGTTAGATTATTTTACATATAAATGAATTGAGTTTTTTAAGTTTATTTTTTTAATGAGTTTAAAAAATTGTCCAAACATGAGTTAAATTTGAGTTGAGTCTGATTAATTTAGCTTTTATATCAATCCTATGCGAGGTGTGTCAATTGTTGGTTGAAAACGATTTATATGTGCTTGAGGGGATTTTTCATTTATGAAAAAGAAAGAGTTAATTGTTTTTTATCTCACGCGGTTTTGCTAAAAATATTTTATTTACTTAACGTTTAAAATTATGTACATTACCAAAGTGAAGTAATTGACATTGTTAACAGAATTAAAAAATTATTATAATATCGATGTTTTAAATCAGATTTTTTTTTTGATTTACTCTTGATTATAAAATTAGAGATAATAGGATGTGAGTACATTTTTCAAAACTTATTTGGCTTTAAGTATCATCTCTAAATTTATTCTCCTTTAAGTCTTTTTTTTCATCAAATAGTTGTTAATAAGTACACATTTTAAAACATTTTTAAATTCTTTCTAAAGTGTATTCCATAATTACCCCTATCATAAATAGTGCGTACTTAATTGATAACTTTTATATTTCTAATATCTAAATATTAGAATGTGAGACTTTCAAGATTTCTTTAGATATTTATATATCATTTGAATTTTGAAATTTCATATATATATATATATATATGTATATATATATACACACACATATAGTAATATCCAATAGTAGCACGTTTAACAAAAAAATATTAACATCAAACAAAAATTTAGTTGTCACTCTTTACTAACACTACGTGGACACTATTAAGGGGGCGTTAGATAATGTCATTAATTGGACCTCTATTGTCATTATCTCGTGTCTTTCTTTGGTGACACTGTTTGTATAACAATTTTTCAAGTTTTTTTTAGGTGCAACTCTTTGAGTTAACAAATATATATTGTCATCATTTATAGTCAATCTATTATTGTCACTCTTTACTGATACTATTTGGGCACTATTAAGGGGCATTACATGATGTCATTAATTTAATCCCCATTGTCACTATCTCGTATTTTTCTTTGGTGACACTGTTTGGATGATAATTTTTTGAGTTCCTCTTTAGGTGCAACTCTTTGAGTGAGCAAATATATATTATTATCGTTTATGATCAATATATTGTTGTCACTCTTTAGTGACACTACTTAGGCATTATCAAGGGGGCTAATTACATGATGTCATTGATTGAAATTCTCACATTCTAATCTTGAAAATCTCACATTCAATTAGGTATGCACTATTTATAGTAACGGTAAAAGGGCATTTATGACTTTTTTTTAGAAGACGTACTTCTATCCCAATAATTTTAAAAAGTGTACATTTATCATATTAAGTGTTTAAGGAGGTATCTGTCTCACTAAGCCCTATAAAAATAAAGGAACATGACAACAAACCAACATATTTTAATAAAATATGTCAAGTCTTCTTTTTTTTTTCTCTCAAGTGAGATTTTGTTTCGGGGCCGAAAATCACTTATATTTTTTTTACATATGTTTTTATTAGGGACCAATGCCCTACTTATTTGGGTACTATACCATGTATTATAAATGGTATTTTAAGCATTTTATTTTTTTTGGACAGAAACAATGAAAATAAAATTCACAACATGTTTTGGACATGTGAGGTACACTCTCCGTTAACTTGAAAAATAAAAATAACCACTTCACTTTCATACATAATTACAAGGAAGTAATGTGCATAATTTTAACGCCAAGTAGGTAAAATACTTTTAGTCGAAACTACATAAAAGTAAAAAAAATTAATCCAAAAAGAGAAAAAAACAACGACGGATGTATTTAGTTGAGAAATAAAGAGATTTTAGTATTAAGTTTTTTACTCATAGGTTATACAAAATCAACCCCGAATACTACACACTAATAAATAGGTTATGTTAATATTAAAACATTTAACATGATTAAACCGATTGAATTATATTAACTAATACTCGATACAAATTTAAAACATCACGAGGAATCAATTTTTCAAACTAGTTTTAATCTTTATCATATTAACACTAGGGTCAACATAAATTAATAAAAGAGAAAGAAGAAAATAGAAAACCACGCCAATAGTATTGAAGTCATTAGATTATGCCCCCATTGGTGGTGGTTGTTGGAATATGACTGAGCTTCGGATTTTATACTTTTGTTAGTCTCTATCCTTTTATTAGTCTCAACCATGAATTTTTTTTTTTTTAAGAATTGGTTACATCAAACTATGGTCTTGTGCCTGATCAAAAAAAAAAAAAAACTATGGTCTTGTGAAGATATTTTTTCCAACTCAATATTTTAACACAAGGAATGGAATACATCGGGGTGTCAATTTTGTCGATTAAAATTAATATAATATCAATTCGATACGATACAAACTAAAAAATAAATAGAAATTATGAATGAATCAAATGTGTATTAAATACAAATAACACATTTAGTCGTTATTGTAAAAAAAAAATGTGTAGTTCTTTCATTTATTGATTTGAAATTGTATGATTTTTTTTAAAATTAAATAAATTTTTAATATTACAAATATAATATAATTCAAAAATGATACAACACGGTTGAATTAATGCCTAATGGCGTAAAAGACCGAGAAGATTGAGGTGAGATGAATTGGATGAGTTGTGTGTGAAGTTTATTGAGTACTTGGGGAAAAATGAACCAAAAAACACAAGGATAGAGTGGTTTGTCCATATGAAGAGCTGAATTAATTTAATATAATGGAGACTCTTACATCTTGGTGTATATTGCTTGAGAAAAAAGATAAGTATAGTAATTGTATCTCTCATAGGCAACGTACATGCTCACCCCCTTTGTGTACAAGGTTAATCATGTGATCTTTAACCAAAATTATTAGAGAATTTTAGAAATTTTTTCCGCTAGGTGTGACATGGGTTTTTAAAAGTGATGGAGTGACTTTCTAGAGACCCAATTCGAATTACTAAAATCGGACACATTCACAATTCATGTTTAATCCGAAATTAAAATAAATATATATACACAAAATTAAAGTATATTTTAAGTTTTTATTGAATTTA